GGGGGGCGCAGGGGCTGGCTCTGGGGCAACGGGAGGGGGGCGCAGGGGCTGGCTCTGGGGCAGCGGGGGGAGGGGGAGGGCTCAAGGGTTGGCTCTGGGGCAGGGGGGGGGGGGAGGCGCAGGGGCTGGCTCTCTGCTGCTGAGTAAATAGAGGTTCTGCATATTATATATGGTCCATGCTTGTGAACAGCCCTGCAGTAATGAATGCATATGCACAGGCATTAGTGAAGGGAAATCAGTTTAGGGGAGGTGTATGTGCTTGGTGTCTGACTCTCAAAAGAATAGTAGAGCGATTGAGTTAGAAAATATTTGTGAAATATTTATCAATCCTTGGACCTTACGTTTCTAACCCATTGTGTTTCATTATGTAAACCGATTTTTTGCTCTCTTGATTTGCATGTGAAACAGTTTGTTTCTAGAGTCACAAAGGTAAATTTTAGTTAGTGGTGTTCCTTTCTCTATAATTTTCACTTTCTAGGTGGATATGCTGGTATCTAAAATCTTGTCATCAAGAACATGGGTTTTGTTGGACGGCTTACGGCAATGGAGACCTGCATGTTCGCTACATATACAGATTTGCTTATTGCAGCAGCAGGTTAAGAGCTGGCAGAGGATTCTTTCCACAAGCTGTGCAAAGTGTGCAAAAAATGAACGGCTGAAACAAAAAAGAGCAATATCAGAAAAGAAGCTGGTAAAGTCTAAACTAAAATTCAGATAGGCTAACCTACCATATGTTTAAAGAACTTGCTGTATGCTAAATGACTACACCACTCCCAGAGATGAGTGTTTTGTGTATATTCCCCACTTACCGTTGACATTATAAGGAAATATTTTTATGAAATATAATTAACTTTTTGAATAGTGGAAAAAATAGTTGTAAATAAGTATTTCATGTAATAAAAATCTCAGTTCACAGTGAACGTTATTCATGATGACTTCAGTGGTAGTAGTAGCTATAGAAGTTGCTTCACTGTAGAGCAGTGGTTCTCAACCAGGTGTACATGTACCCCTGGGGGTTCTCAGAGGTCTTCCAGGGGGTACATCAACTCATCTAGCTATTTGCCTAGTTTTACAACAGGCTACATAAAAAGCACTAGCAAAGTCAATACTAACTAAAATTTCATGCAGATAATGACTTGCTTATACTACTCTATATTCTGTACACTGAAATGTAAGTACAGTATTTATATTCCAATTCATTTATTTTATAATTATATGGCAAAAATGAGAATGTAAGCAACTTTTCAGTAATACTCTGCTCTGACACTTGTATTTTTATGTCTGATTTTGTAAGCAAGTAGTTTTGGGGGTACGCAAGACAAAGACTCCTGAAAAGGGTACAGTAGTCTGGAAAGGTTGAGAACCACTACTGCTGTAGAGGTTTTAATTATCATAATTCTCTTTTGGGTTGGAAAAATGACATAGAACAATACATTGTTTTTGTTCTTAGACAGTTGCCATTTTAAAGTTCAATTAGTGTTTTGCCTTTTTTTTTTTTTTTTTAAGAAATTATGTAGCTCCCAAATTGCCTGAATTTAATGGCTAATTAATAATAGGCTTGCTCATTTTTGTTTAGGTGCTTCCTTTTGGTTCTGTATTTCAGCTGCAGGGAAATGAATTCATTTTTTATAATAAGCAATAATTGCATCTAGTTAATTTAAAACAACAGTTTTTAATTTTGCCATTTGGTGGTGCTAACTACATTTGAAAAAAGAGGCTTTTTAGCAACGGTCACATTTTTATGATAGAATCTCAGCATTACAAACCCCTCGAGAATGGAGGTTGTTCATAACTCTGAACAAAACATTTTGGTTGTTCTTTCAAAAGTTTACAATTGAACACTGACTTAATAGAGTTTTGAAACGTTACTATGCAGAAGAAAAATTCTGCTTTTAACCATCTTAATTTAAATGACACAAGCTCAGAAGTAGTTTCCTTGACAAATCTTTTTTTAAATTTTCCTTTTATTTTTGTTGTTAGTTTATTATGTTTGCTTTTTATTTTATTTATTTATTTTGTGGCTGCTGCTGCCTGATACCTCATTTGGAACTGGAAGTATGCTATGTGGTTGATCGGTCAGTTCATAACTCTGGTGTTCGTAATGCTGAGATTCTGCTGTACTGGTGACTGTGCAAAAGGAATTTTGGTTATTCAAGAATTGGATTTTTCTCAGGTGCTTGTGTCACTTTACTAGTAACAGAATTTTTCACCACTCAAGCTATTTTAATATTTTAAAAAATATCTGCCATTCTCCACCTGGTTGTAAAGTCCCTTGGCGTGTTACTAGATTCTTGTATTACCATTTGTAAGTAAATTTTTCTCTACATCTTGACACACGAGAAAATACCTATGTACATGCCAGTACTTTTATAGCACTTTTCATTTGAGGTTCCCCAGAACATTTTCCAAAGATTGGTGGATAAGTATTATTAACCCTATTGTACACAGAGAAGTTAACATGCACAAAATGCCTTCAGTTTTTCCCATTCTGTTGGAAAAGTTCTTACAAATTCCAGGTCAGAGCAGAGGCTGGAAACTCTAAATGTAGTCAGCATGGAGCAATACAAATTTTAAATATGCTTAGACTGGCCTTTTTAAAATTTCCCATGTACTGCCAACTACCTAGGTTACTGAGTTTCCTCGCTTCTTTCATTCAAAGAAGAGGTCTGTGTAAGCTTCAGAGCTTGTCTCTTTCGCCATCAGAAGTTGGTTCAGATATTACCTCACCCATTTTTTTCATTTTTTTTTTCAGTAGATGTTCATTAGCATTTTAATAATTTCCTAATATATGTAGTTAGGGAGGATGATCTTTGAGCATCTTCTCTCTGGAATTCTTTGCCAATGGAAACTCAAAGATGTATGTTAGATGTTTGTGTTTTAAGGGTCTCTTAACATGTGTAATTCTGTGTACATCCTTCAAGATAATTGCTAGATTAATGGGCTTTCTTTGGTTGATGTCTGAACTGTAGCTATGCTGTAGATTTTGGTTTTCAAATGGAAATTGGAATTCCTGACGCTTAAAGATAGCTATGTTTTGTAAAAACCTTCAGGTTGTTGAAACAGAGGTCTGATAATGTTTCACTAAACTGTAGAGAAATCATATGAAACCATCTCTCCATTGCAGACACGATATTTTGTAGATCATCGAAGAGTGTGTGTGATTGGAGGCCACGGAGGACAGGGTATTACGTCTTTTCATAGTGAGCCTAGAAAAGAGTTTGGAGGTCCTGATGGTGGAAACGGAGGAGATGGGGGCCATGTTATTTTGAAAGGTAAAAGTTGCATATCCTTTTTGTCTTTTTATACCACAGATTAAGAGATGGCTTGTTAAATATTGTCCCTTTGTTTAAAGGTATTTTTGATGTCTTTCCACAAACTGAGTTTGAGTGATAGAACTAATAAATATATATGACAGGGAAATGTTTTTCTTTTTCTTAACTCCATCTGTTCTTTGCAATACTTCCAAGGACAGCCACTGCAAAGGGGATGTGAATGACACTGATATTCTTACATGATCTAGCTAGAAAATATTTCAGGTCAAACTGATTTGAAAATCTAATACCTTTTTAATATCTCATATCACATGCCTCGGAAAATGCTAAAGTACTCTGTCATCTTCCCACACTGACACAGATTGCTCCTGAAGCAGGGAGTAAAGCCAACATTTATTCTTTTTATAGAACTAAACACACACATTCCAGGTGCGCTTCTTTGACCTTGCCTTTAGTAATAAAAATGCATGGCACAGCAAACAAAAAGCTACAAAAGTGTAAGCTAGATAAATATTAAAAAAAAATCTAACATAACCTCTTGGGAGAAAAATAGAACAAATATGACAGATGCTAGTCGTGTTTCTTAATGCACTTCTGGAAGACTCTCAGGTACTACTATATGAATGGGGGTGGTGTAAGAATCCGAGAAGGATAAAATACACACACAAAAATGGATATATAGTGTATGACCTTTAAAACAGACTTGAAACTACTAATTGGCATAACATCTGTGGAACACTCAAAGCAGAGAATTTCCCTAGGTTGATTTAAATCAGTGATTTTAAACTTGTTTTGCATTTGTACTTTGTAGTTATTTTCCTAAAGAAAGGTTGATTCTGATTGGCTGATAAACATTAAACCTATTGATTTGTAACTAAATATAGCCTTGACACTAAATTGGGTACTTCTTTTTGCTAACCATCAGGATATACTATATCTGTACACCTTTATTTAAGCAATTATATAGCTTCACATAAATTTATTAAGATTCATTTTAAACACTTTTTATGATGATAAATGGAAAATGACATTTTTTATTTACTAGATTCTTTTTTTATTCATGATTTGTGTCAAGTTGCATTTGAATGGAAATTATAATTCATTGAAAAATGCACAAAAACAGTATTTGAACATTTTGTTTTTTATTAGTTAAATAAAACTACCTGAAATGTGCTGGATACATAAGGAAAAAAGTAAGTTAATCAAAACAGGTTTTGCATTTAAAACTAATTGATTTATTTAAAAAAGGAAGTATCTGGAGTTAGTGAGTTGAACTGGTTGTTTTTGGTCACCATGTCTTTCAAGATTTTAGAAGTAGTAGATCTCATCCTCTCACCTCGTTTTTATTCATAGATTGAAAGAGGACAACAAACCTTCCTGCTTAATTTCCAATCAGTAACTTAACTTTGAATGAAATAGTCATTGAATTTAACTAGTTGAATAAATAACATAGAAGAAAATATTCTCTTTACACCTGTGGAAGAGGCTGCTGCTGTCAAAACCTAGTTTAGCACTTCAACAAACTCTGATTTCAAGTACTTAGCCAGTGACTCACAAGTTCACTGGTTTGACTTTCTTTAAAACTTTGGTAGCAAACGAACTGAATTTTTTTTTTTTATTTAAGGTAAATGATTTTAATAGAGTATAAGATTAGCCCTTAATATCGGTTGTCATAATTTTAAATAGGTTTATTTTTAAAAAGACAAAAGTGTTCAATTTGTCTTTTTAAAAATGAATTAAATAAAAAATCCAAATTTTTAATTTAAAAAGAAATATTCAATCTTTATCCACTTTGATTTTCCTTAACAGAAACAGAGAACAAAGAGTGGAGGTTTTGTCAGAGGTTTTTTACAGTGGTTAATGTTTTGATGTTTTGGGAAGACTAGGACTTCTGAGTTTTGCTCTGAAATTAGAAGTTATTTCCAAAAGCACTAAATCGGCTCATCAGACATACCTGTTTTTTAGTTTCATTTGTCTCTTACCCTGTTATTTGGAGTTACTTGCATCTTTCAAGGGGAGAAGAGATTTCTAACTTTCTGGTTTTGGATCAGCAATTCTGTTCTTAAAGTGTGTGTTTTGCTTTATAGCTGACCAGCAAATCAAGTCACTGGCTTCAGTCCTCCCATTGTATCGAGGTTTTGATGGAGAAAGAGGGAGAAGCAAAAACTGTTACGGAGCCAATGGTGGATACACATATATTAAAGTAAGATACTGTTGCTGACTATTTTGAAAGTTTTATGTGAGAATTCAGGCCTCAGTCCTGCAAAAGCTTATCTGTGTGAGTGACTTTATGCATGTGAGTAGTCCTAGTGGGACTAGTCAAAGTGAGTGTTCATAGCATCTAGGCTGGTTGACACACCGGCATGACCAAACCACTTTGTTCTCATTGTTCACACACCAGAACCTCTCTGAAAGACCATGCTGCATCTCACTAAAACAAATACTCACCAGCCTTTGCTTATAGAATTCATATAGGCAGTGCAAACACACACACAACTTGGGACATGTCCATTTTGATGCTTATCCCTACTATGCTTTCCAAGCTCATGACTATATATTCTAGCAATGTTGTTTGTTATGAGTTTGTCTGCAGATCCCATGTGAGAACAGATTTCACACTTTATCGTATGCTTTATTAGCACAAATGAAGGGAGGCTTTCCTTTCTTCCTAGTGAAGACAAGGCTTAGAAGCGAGATGTATTTTTAACACGTTAGCTAGGGTTTATGTTGACCAACTAATATATTTAAAACTACAACTTGCCTTGTTTCCACTAAGACTTTAATACACTAGTTAACACACGTTAAAAAGCACCTTTTTTGCATACAGTAGATACAGTCCTAAGCTTTATACCTGTATTTAGTGTTATCCATAAAGTCAATCTTCAGAGTCTGTTTTGGAGCTGTGTCAGCTGTTGGGGCGTGACTTTATGTATTGATGATGATTTATTTGTGGTCATGCCAAAAATCAGGTAAGCATTTTTTCAAGTAGAGAGGAAGACCAAACCACACACGCGCATGCACACCACAGCAAGATGGTAATAGTAATACATCACGTTGGTTCCGTTTTTAATTAAAAAACAAAAACAAATTCCCGTCTGCTTATGTCTGTTGCTGCTTCCTTTTTTTTAATTTGTTTTAAAATATAAATCATTCTTACTTGATTTTAGCTACCCGATATGATCCCTAATCTGCTTATGTTGGTATCCTGAATTGGTTCACCACCACTTTGTGATACCTGGGACTGGGAACACAAAAAGGCCCCCCCCCAAAAAAGTATGGTACTATTAAAGTTCTAAATGTCCAACATTTAGACAGTTTGTCAGTGCTGTTTGGGTCTAGAGTGAGAGTGCTTATTTGGTCTCTCCTGCTAGATCTGGGTCCTAATGACTCTTTTTACACTTTCACCCAGCTGGGAGATGGAGGTTGTGGTGTTAGCTAGACCCTGAAAACATCCCCAGCCGCCGGGAACAGCTGTTAAGTATTTGAACTTTCATAGTTGGTTTTTGCTTAGGACTTTCTCTCTGTTTTTCAAGGTTCCTGTAGGCACTCTAGTTAAGGAGGATGGGAAAATTGTGTCTGATCTTACTCAGCATGGTGAAGAATATGTTGCCGCTTATGGAGGAACTGGAGGGAAGGGTAACCAGTTCTTTCTGTCCAATGAGAATCGAGCACCAATGACAGCTACTCTAGGAGAATCAGGTCAGAAAAGAGTCCTCTATCTGGAGCTCAAGACTATGGCACATGCAGGGCTGGTGGGTATTGCCTTTTTTGTTTTGTTAACCTTTGCTATACGCTTCCAGGATGTCACTTGACTAGCTGACGAAAGAATGTTGCTTTGTTATATTTTGTTCTCTCAGCAAGTTTGTGTGGGAGATGAATGTCAACGATTACTTAGTAGGGGAATATCCTGAGTGATTTGCCCTTCTGTCACTTTTTTGTTACCGCTTTATATATAACTTGATGCCATATCTCTTTGATTTGGCATGAAGCTTTTTACCAACAGGAAACAAGGTACAGGCTTCAGTAATAATTGCAATAATAAAACAGTCTCCCATAAATGTCTCTTTAGAATATGTCTTGACATAACAGAGGGCTTGAATATATACAGGCAGCCAAGTTATCATCAGGGATCAACCCCCCAATCTTTGGCACTTAGGGGCTTCTGCCACTGAAGGAGAACTTTTGTATGCTGCTTTTAAAATAATTGGACAAGCTTTTCTGGGAGATGTGATGACATGCCCTGAGACAGCATGTTACAGCTAGAAACCATCAAGGAACACTAATGGCTCTTAAATAACATCCCTTTTTAACAAAAACATAATCACCCTTCAGTCTCTTTACTTTGCATTGTTATTGGTATTAAACTTTGTTAGCTTTTTGTATAGGTTTTAGATATGTAAATTTTGCCTTCGCATTTAAGTTTGAATGGTATGCTAATGCTGTCAATTTATTGTTTAAGGTGATTTCGTTTTTAAATCCATGCAATTTTTTGATCTCTCTCGTGGAGCTGTTGAATAAACCCTTATTTTACAATAGTACATAAAGTGCATGTATCTTGCAACGTTTGTCCGGCCCAGAAGAGCTTTGTAAAGAAAAAGTGAACCAGCGTAGTTGGTTCAATAAACTTAACTGTATCTTAGCCTAGACAATCTCCTCTCAGCCTTAAATTGGCAGCAATAAATCCAGCTTGTGCCCATAGAAGCCAATGGGAATTTTGCCACTGACTTTAATGGGAGCATTATCGGGGCTTAAAATTGACAAGGTGAATCCATGAGCGTCCAGATCTCTACCATACTTATTATGGCAGTTGTTCAGAATGATTATCCCCAGCAGGCTGGAAAATCTGATTGTTTCATGTAAGTGCTGTTGACTCTGCACACACTTGTCTGTGTCAGACAGGATATCCTAAGGCTGTTCTAAGACCATTCCTCCCAGCTAGCATAGACTTCCTAGGAAAGTGTTTCAAGATGTAGGCTTTAGGAGTGAGGGGAAACTAGCCTCAGAGAGAGACTGCAATAGAAGAATAAAGAGAAAAACGTTAGTTTACCCACAGAGTATATTATGGTTCTGTTACCTTACAATCCAAATGAGATGATTGATTCTGGGGAAGGCCCATTGGTAATAGTTACTCCTAGTAGTCAGATATATGATAGATCCGCCAACATCCATGGCATGGAAAATCCTGTCCATGTTAAAAATGACAAGCCTTATGTCAGAATCAAGTAGATTTTTATAATGTATGGTCACTTTTTTGGAATTTGAAAATAAATACATAGCTGATGAGTGGCTGACCAACCGGAGATGAGTCTTTTACCGTAATAAATGCAGGTTATGAGTAAGTCTTGTTCGTGCTTGTATGGAAAGCTCATATATGTTAATGATATAATGAAAAATTAAAAATAGAAAAAAATGTGTGCGCAGATATCTTTAGACATGAGCATGCAAAACTGATGCATTTGTGCGCAAATGGCTGTACAGTTCTCTGAATTATGACAACTACTAAAGAATCATTGATATGTATTTTTAAGGAAACATTCTCTTTATTTTGGTTAATCTGGAATTGTGGCCTTGTCGAATATTTGTGTTCCAGGTGGGATTCCCCAATGCTGGGAAGTCATCACTTTTGCGAGCAATCTCCAATGCAAAGCCTGCAGTGGCTCCCTACCCGTTCACAACCTTAAATCCACATGTAGGCATTGTTCACTACCAAGACTATGAACAAGTGGCAGGTATGTGTTACGAGATTTTGTTTATATAATAATTACTACTTTTAGTTGTAACATCTGATTGTCTCCCTTTATGTTCCTGCTTGAGACAAAAAAATAAAACTGTAAAAATGACTCTCTAGGAGCTTACTAGTTCTAGGGAGCTACAAACCTGATGTAAATGTGAAATAGATTTTAAACCTTGTATTGTATTTCATATATATATACTGTTGACCTCAGACTTCTGAGCTGAATCCAGTGTCTCTGGTGAAATTACTTGATTTTTTTTTTCAGGGCTGAAGGAGACAGACAGACAGACTCATGCAATGCTTTCTTAGAGACTATATTGAAAGGGAGCTATATAAATACCTAGGCTGACAGACAGACAAATAGAACCTCTTTAAGTTAAACATGTTGTGTTCACATTCAGTTCTCTCTTGTTTATAGTTGCTGATGTTCCCGGTATAATAAGAGGAGCTCATCTAAACAGGGGCCTTGGATTGGCCTTTCTGAAGCACATAGAACACTGCCGCTTTCTCTTATTTGTGGTGGATCTGTCTGTGTCTGAGCCATGGATTCAGCTCCAAGACTTAAAATATGAACTAGAGCAGTATGAAGAAGGGTTGTCGAAGAGACCTCATGCTGTCATTGGGAATAAGATGGATCTTCCTCAGTCCAAGGCTAACTTATTACTACTTAAGGAGCGAGTGGAGCAGAGAGTCATCCCACTATCTGCATTGACAGGAGACAATCTGGAGGAATTATTGTTGCACCTAAGAGATATGTATGATGCTTATGTAACTACTGAACAATCACGTAGACAAAACCCAGTCAAATGGTAGGAACCGGAGCTCCTGTGAACGCTAGGCTGAATGGAGGAGGAAAACAACATAGTTTATCACAGGATGTTCAACCTGTGGAACTCTTTGCCAGAGGATGTTTATCAAGGCCAAGACTATAACAAGGTTCAAAAAGAACTAGATAAATTAATGGAGGATAGGTCCATCAATGGCTGTTAGCCAGAATGGGCAGGGATGGTGTCCCTAGCCTCCATTTGCCATAAACTGGGAATGGGAGACAGGGAATGGATCATTTGATTACCTGTTCTGTTCACTCCCTCTGGGGCACCTGGCATTGGCCACTGTCAGAAGACAGGATACTGGGCTAGATGGACCTTTGGTCTGACCCAGTACAGTTGTTCTTATGATGTATGTGTGGGAGAAGCCTGGGGCACAGGACACAACACGCTGTAGATTTGTTTTCGATTACTGTACCAAGCAAATTGAACTATAAGCATCTCCTATTTTTGAGGCCTTTAAATTTCGTTGGAAAAAGCTTGAGACTTGTAGTGGTGATGTGCGTAACAAATTGGCTTGTCACCTAGGGAAACTTGCTTACAAATTCTGGCTTACAGTAGGTTATACTAGATGATTTTTTGGCCCCGGAGTGATAACTAGTCTTTTAAAGTGATCATGAGTTGCACAAATTGTACTGGGAGTAGGCTAGGGCTATATTTTCACAGACGGGAAATGTGCTCTTTCCACCTATTTTCTTTTGTGGACAGTGTTCCTATTCGTTTGCTGTTCATAAAGTCATTTCTTCCTCAGAAGTAGTCTCTTGTGCATGTTCTTTGCCCAGGTATATTTTTGTGTGTCTGTGAGACTATTAATATTGCTGTCCTGATGAAGATCCAGAACGTGTACCCTAATATCATTTATTGAGCCTCAAGAGGAGAAACAGAAGTTGCTGTAATGGTACTATCCTTTCATGTTCATCATAGGTAGAATGATGCCCTTTAATCTCAACGGCGAAGCAGTTTTCCCCCAAATGGATTGTTTATATAAGCTGCCTTTTATGAGCAGACTCTGCTGTTCCTCAATAAAGCCAACACTGGGAGACCACGTGTTGATCTCTTTCCACAGAGAATTCTAATATGCTATTGGCATACTGAGACTAAGACACACGTGAGAAGTTAGGAGAGACCATTGTTCTTGGTTCAGCATTTATTTCTAAGGATGATGGACTATAAAAAGAATCAGATTAATTTGTACTTCCAGGCCAATAATCTGAAGTTGTGAACACCCTATTTTTTTTATTATATCAAGAAAATACAGTGAGAACCATCAGAGCTCACAAACATTCCATCTTATAATATACAGCTTCCTTTTCAAGGAATTAAAAGGACCAGTCTTAAGGACAGTTAGAGGATGTTTAGACCAAATAGAAACATTTTATTCCCTAAACTAGTATTGGTTTTTAACTAAGCTTATTTAGCTGGCAGTGAAGATTTCATGCTGTGGATATTTTTAAGGTTTAAATTTAACATCAGCCATCACCTCTCCTCTAACTGCAATAGTGTGAGTTACTGAGGAGGATAAAAATCAGCCGCAGTGCTCCTTTTTAATAACTTCCCCCTGCTATAGGGAAGGTGACGATTCTCCGAACCTCAACTGATGTGCACACAAATTGGGCATAATTTGTATATTCCCAAGCATGGCTAACATTTATGAGGAGCACATCCTTACAAGAGTGGCTCATTCAGCCCAGTCATCATCTTGTGTATGGACTGGCTTCCTCCCATTACCATTTCTACACTGCCCAGCCTGTCACTTGGGGGAAAATGTCATATCAAAATACAGAATCAACAGCTGATTTTTGTTTGTACAAATGGGTTTTTTTTAGGAAAGCCCCAAACCTTCCTGGTGTATCAGCTTTGAAGAATAATCAAGGCAAATATCAAAGAGATGTAGCCTCCTTGTAGATTGAGTACCACCTGGATCGATCTCTAGCTATGCCCTTTAGACAGTCTGGCTGGGTGTTCACTGGTGACCTTTTTGTGCCACTGAAGGTCTTGGCAGCCATGTGGTCGCTGACCATGTACTGGTATTCCTTGGTAAACACACTTCGTAATTTGTTGGTCTTCCATCCTAATAAGTCTGGATCAAAGAAAGCTATCACAACCAAACTGGTGCTGATGATAGAGGCAGTTGCTGGGTTCAGTTACACATAGTCTCATAGCTGATCTTGCAGATTTGAATCTGGTCCTTAGTTACTCGAGTGCAAAGATCTATGTATATAATGTGAAAGAAGAGCTATGCCCCTTATTATTCATCCAGAACAATTATAGAATCATAGGACTGGAAGGGACCTTGAGAGGTCATTTAGTCCAGCCTCCTGCACTCATGGCAGGACTAAGTATTACCTAGACCTGGGGTGGGCAAACTACAGCCCGCAGGCCGAATCCAGCCCGTGATCCTTTTAAGTCACACCACGAGCTCCTGCTGGGGTGCCATGTCAGGGGCCGCACCACGCGGCTCGGCCCCACTTCAGCCGGGGTGCCATGTTGGGGGCCTCACCACACAGCTCGGCCCAACTCTGGCCCTGCACCACACCTAGGAGCCAGAGAAGGGACATGCCGCTGCTTCGGGGAGCCACTAGAGGTAGGCACAACTTGGAGCCTGCACCTCTGAGCCTCTGCCCATGCCCCTGCCCCAGTGCTGATCCCCCCCCCACCTCCTGCTCGCCAAACCCCTCGATCCCAACACAGCATTCTCCTGCACCCCTAACCTCTCTCCAGCCCGACTCCAGAGCCCACACCCCCAACCGGAACCTGCACCCCTTCCTGCACCTTTGCCCCAGCCCTGATTTCCCCCTCTGTCCTAGCCCAGAGCACCCTGCTACACCCTAAACTCATCCCCAGTCCCACTCCAGACCCCGCACCCCCAACCAGAGCCCGCACCCCCTCCTGCACTCCAACCCCAATTTTGTGAGCATTCATGGCCCGCCATACAATTTCTATTCCCCAATGTGACCCTCAGGCCAAAAAGTTTGCCCACCCCCACCTAGACCGTCCCTGACAGATGTTTGTCTAACCTGCTTTTAAACATCTCCAATGATGGAGATACCACAACCTCCTTGGGCCATTTATTCCAGTGCTTAACCATCCTAATAGTTAAGACGTTTTTCCTAATGTCCAACCGAAACTGCCCTTGCTGCAATTTAAACCCATTGCTTCTCATCCTATTCTCAGAAGTTAAGGAAAACAATTTTTCTCCCTCCTTGTAACAGCCTTTTACGTACTTGAAAACTGTTATCATGTCCCCTCTCAGCCTTCTCTGAGGGAAGATTGAAAAAACTGGGTTTGTTCAGTCTGAAGAAGAGATCATGTTTTCTATGTTATCTTTCATTCTGAGAAACAGTGAAGTCTGTTTAGCTCACTGCCTGTTTTCCTATCTATAAAATAGGGAGAACATTTAATTACCTTCCTCACATGCATGTTGTGAGGATTATTAATGTCTATGCAGTGATCCAAGCATATAGAACCTATATGTATGCTAAATATGATTACAGACCCAGATGTTTCTGTGCAATTAAGAAAACAGACCAAAGAAAGGTAAGTGAAAAATGTATCCTCTTATGAGAGTGAGGTGGACCATGTCTCCACGTGCCCCTTACACTTTATTTTTCACTTCCTGTATCCTTCATGTCCAACTGCAACATTAGCATCAGTCTAAATGTGGGGTGCAGCTGTATGGCACTGCTTCACGCAGCTGGATGCAGAGCCACTTCAGGTTTTGCTAGTAGGGTTCTTCCGGAGAAAGGAATGGACGGGGATTAATGTTGTCAAGAATCAGTATGCTAATAACAGAGGGGTAGGCGTGTTAGTCTGAATCTGTAAAAAGCAACAGAGGGTCCTGTGGCACCTTTAAGACTAACAGAAGTATTGGAGCATAAGCTTTCGTGGGTGAATGCCCACTTTGTCAGACACAGTATGCTCCAATATTTCTGTTAGTCTTAAAGGTGCCACAGGCCCCTCTGTTGCTTTTTACAGTATGCCAGTACTACTTTAGACCAGGGGTTCTCTCAACCATTTTTTTTTGGTGGCCTCAGACTGCGGCCACCAACTCTTGCTGGTGGCCGCTCTGAAAATTTTTCCTAAAATACTTTAGGAAAAACAAACAAATATGCACATATGTATTTCCATATCATTGTAATTTATTTATGTAGGATTTTTTTTTTGCAGGCTCAATAATAAAAATAATGTAGACTTGTCTCTATTCTTTACTGAACCTAAACAGAATAGAAACACAAATAAGGTGCTTTGCACGTTCTAATTTTTTTCTTATGTCTTTTGCTTTTTTGGTTGCCTTTTTTTCTTTCTTAGACTTCCTAGTTACTAAGTCTCCTCTGAAAAGTAATACTAACAAACATACAAATATCACTTGTGACAGCAGACTTACTCAGCCCTGGCAAGCCAGGGAATAAATTAAGCCCTGGATGGGGAGGTGGATATGGGAGTGGGAGGGCTACCTTGGGGCCAGAGCCCACCATTGTATGGCTGGGATACAGAGCTGAAGCCCCATGGCTGGAGCCTGCCACACGCCATCCCAGGGCTGGAGCCTGACCTCACCAGCCTTGGGAAGGTGGGGAACTCACTGGCTATGTGTTCCTCCAGCTTTTGTGTGTCCAGAGGTGGGCAGGGCCCAATCATTGCTGGTGGCCCTAGGGGAGGGATCTGATGCTTTGCTGACCCCCCCCCCCCCACACACACACACACACACTGCCTAGGAGGCTGTGGCCACAAGAAAAGTCACTTGTGGCCGCGTTTGAGAAATGTTGCTGTAGACACTGTCAAATACAAATCTGTCATTTTAAAGCCACTTGTCACTACTGCTCTGCAAACTAAGTATTTTTGGATTTTGGCTGACCAGCACTCTGAATTGCCTCATATCAAAACAGGGACTTCCATGCCTTCCTTTCTGTTGCCATTGTATTGTACAAATCCATGACACTTAGCAGTGCTTCATGTGCTCTGCAAACTCTTTTTAAGTGCTTTAAAGCGCAGTATATCTTGTGAACTACAGTTGTAATTTAAGGCCTAAGAAATCTGAAGAAAAAAAAAGTGGGTTAATTGTGTCCCTGCTCTATTAACTTTTTACACACTCCTTTTAAAAAAAGAGG